GCGTCTGAGTGCAAAAAGTCGTCGGATACCATCTGCTGTAAACAAGGGTACGTCTAACTTCAAAATCTTTTGTACTACTATTATTTTTTTTTAAGAGTAATTTCGTAATGAATGCATTGCTAATTTAAGTTCTGAAAATCGAAAGCCAGTCCGAATGAGCGGTTTGCGTTTATTCAATTTGATTGAACAGCCCATACGACACACCCTTTATATATATAAAAGTGAGCTTTAAATCTTGTTGGTCTCTTTTATGCCCATGTATGGATATTATTGGAAATGTTACTTGATATTTTTTTGTTTTTAACACCCTGGCCCCAATGACTTTTTTTTTTTTTTTTTTGACCAATGCAAGATTAATGAGTTCTGGGAACTCAATTTCTGCAACCCTGTGTGTCAATGCTAGTGGAACAGAAGTGATAGACTTTACATTTCTTTTGTATTATTACACAATTCTTATTGCTACATAACAGAGTCTTGAGTGCTACAATGAAGCAAGATGAATCTCACAAGATTAAAGGGGTCATATGATGCGATTTCAAGTTTTCCTTTCTCTTTGAAGTGTCACAAGCTCTTGGTGCATAAAGACCATCTCAGCTGTCTTAACCGCGGCTTGTGTACTGCATCATCACTGTGTCTGTCACACAACTCTGTTGCCCTTTCGGACTTGAACTGATGGTAAAACTAACAAAATTATTAACTTGATATTTATTTTGAAAGCTGAAGCTCGCAATTATGGTAAGGGGCATTACATTTCCGACGCGTGCTTGTGGTGTTCGGCCAATCACAATGCACTGGGTCAGCTGGCCAATCAGAGCAGACTGCGCTTGTCAAAGGAGGGGGCTTTGTTGAAAATGATGTGTTTGAGAGAGGCGGGGCATAGAGGACCTACAATAAATGTACAGTATTTGAAAAATAATGTTTTTTTTGAACATTAAAGCATGTCAACATATTCTGTTACACCAAATACACAAAATGATGATCTTTAAAATAGCATCATATGACCCCTTTAACAAAACAACATGAATTTCTCTTGTGTTTTTTAAAAATGCCAGAATTTAAAAAATGCTGTAATGGAGCAAGTCATGAAAGCCTGTCCAAAAAGGGCATTGCCAGATATGAACAGTCCGTCTCATACAACATAATCAACGATGGTAATAACGATCACGTGACTGGATTGTCGCACCTGTTAGGTGGGTATATACGAAAAACAGTTACACATAACCCTACATAATTCCTTTACAGTTATTTTACAAGTGAAAAACTGGTGATTTTCCATAAATATTTTCACAGCACCTGAGGTCCATGATGCACCTCTGAAAACGGTGCTGGACAACTTGGATGTTCTTGAGGAGCTTGTGTTGGTATTAGACCCGGACATTTCTGGCGCCAAGAACACTCGTCACCTTGCTGCCCAGTGCTCCTTTTCCTTTGCCTGGATAAATTATGCTTATTCCATGAAGGACCACAAAAGCCCCCTTGTTGCTGTTTTGGAGGGTGTCGTCACCAAGAACCCAGACTGGACTGTCGGCCACCTCGCTGAGCTGCTAACCGCTATCGGTCGTAACGATGCAGTGGAGATTTTGGCGAAGCTTCCTGCAGGTGTATAAGAATAATTCATGCAATATTTTAAGAACACAAAACCAGTAATTTATTTACTTATACTGTATTGTTGAATACAATCTCATAAGAATTTGTGAATTTGTATGATCTGCTTATGCCTCACTGAGGGTTAATGCTTAGTATTTGTTCTAAAAATCGTTCATCGTAGTGAACAATTATACAAAATCGCCAACTTGGAAATGGTTTTCTCATGAGATTGTGTATTTTTCCTTATATATAAGTTCAGTATTCAGTTGAGAGTTGAAGCACGCAATGCTTGAATTATGTACTCAGACTGACCATCATTTGGAATCAAAGACAAGACACATTTTGATGTTTTCCCTAACTGTTCCACCATCTCCATTTCATCCTTACATGTTACACATTTAGTTTTATATAGCTTAAACGTAACACTGCATAACACTATTTATATTTCACCATTTTTGTTAAACTACTAGAATTCATGAAAATGAAGTGTCTTTTTCTTCTAATCTTTTTATAAGTGTCATAAATCTTGGAAACTTAGAATTATTGGCAAACCAATATTCCAAGTTTTCCATTACTTGACAGGATTTGGCCACAAACCCTTTCTGAAAGCATTGTATCATTAGTTATTAGTAGTGCACAATTGATTCTTTTGTATAGTCAGCACAAAGATCACAATAAATCTTGAACTTTGTTCAAACATCGTACATCTTTATTAAGCAAAAACACTATAAATAAAAAAAAAAAGTGCATAGAAAAATTGAACAGGTTTAGAAATATGTATACAACTATTTACAAACTTAGGGGTCATTTGTACAAGGTAGCAAAGACACGTTTTTTCATTTGAAGTCTTTTTCAACACAACGTTGTTTTTTTTAAAATAGCCTACACAGGAACAGACAGAATTTCTTTTCCCAGGAAGCACTGGGAGACACATTATCACAGGAGGTCCTGACTAGTGCTTTGCATCCTTCATTGCACACGAGCCAACTCTGCATGACAGAACAGACCAAGCAAATCTAGTTTTGCATTAGTATTACTTGATGTCGTCTGAACAGCTTGAGGTAGAATCCTTGCAAGTCTGGGGTGGTTTGATTAAAATCTGAGATCCACTAAATTTCAGGTTCTGGATGGAGATTCTCCCTCCACACAAACACACAGAGTAAGGAAAAAGTGGGAGACGCCAACGTGATTTAGTGGGAGGAAACTTCTCCTTTGAGAAAGTCAAATAAAATCAGACAACTAAGACATTTAAAACAAACAGCCGGCTCAACACATCACCTCTTAAAAAGGCCACGTTGCAAGAACTCATCCTCAATGTTCAAGTTAAAGAAAATGGGAAAAACGGTTTAAAAGTACGAAGAAAAAAAAAAAAACCCTGAAGAAAACTCTGATAAGACCTTGGTCACATACAAAAAAGCACAGACCTATGGGTAAAAACTCCCATAAAGACAAACAGGAATAAAAAGAACGCTCTTAGATGAACGATGGCATCAGCTTGTTGATTTTTTTCCTACATGAAGAGGAGAACCAACTCCCAAATCTTTCAAGGAAAATTAAGGTGCCGAGTACCACTGTCTACTGAAAAACTGTTTCAATAACTCTTCTATAAATATATATATAGATCTTGTATACATCGTCTTCACGGTCCTACGTCTTCTAGGACACTTTAAGCAGTTTCTAACTCCCTAGATAAATGTAGAGCTCCAATTGTATGTGCAATTGTGGCAGAAAATGATTTATTGCAGGAACAATTCACAACGAGGATGCATTTAGTCACGATTAGCTTAAGTAGTGTCCTCTACTACATGACGAATAGAAACTCAAATATCCACTCTCCAGGCATGATTTTGTTTTCGACACAAGGCTCTCAAGAGGTATAAAAATCACAAACATGCTAAAACGTTGCCGTTTTGAGTACTGGGAATGGGGTTTCAAAACACCACTGACATTTTTCTCGTTGTTGGAAAGCGTGTCTGGGCTGCTTTGCTATTTTAGTACCGGTTGCAGCAACTACAGCTCGCATCGGTTCTCATGAAACAGTATTGTTTTACCCCCTTTAGGACTCATGTTAGACTTAGCACCATGGAGGTCAAGTTTTTAAAAACGCTTATACACTCACACCACAGAACAAGCCCGCAAAACAGAATGAAGAGTTAGACCTGCCTGTAAAAATGCAACGAAAATAAATTAATTGTTAAAAATAAAGCCTTCGAGAAGATTAAAAGGGTTTTCAAGTGAAAAACTGTCACAGATGAGAGTGAAACGCAACAGAGCGAGTCCATGTGCAAGGAGTGGATCCATGGGTCACACTGAGGGGTTTACAGTATTGTCCTGAGCAGTGCGAGTCTTTCTCAGCTAAACATGAAAGTGTGGTCTAAACTAAAATCGATAGATACAGATCTGAATACGTTCATTTCATTAGTAATATGCATGTTTTTACAGAGTATCTTCGCTGCCGCTACGCTTTCGCACACTACGTGGTCCGCACTATAAAATGCTTCTCAAGCACAGAGGCGATTCTGTTCATATCGTGAAAATCCAGCACTTTAAGATTGGCTCGTGGGAGGTTGTTTGGAATTTAAAGGTAATTTATGGGAACAGAACACCCCGAACTCTTGGCAGCGCATCCCAGGTTTTGGAAAGCATAAAAACCTGCAGGAATAATTTAAAAGTAGTCACAATTTTGCTGCAAAATATACCATGACTCTGCCTTTAGTTCAATATCCGTGCCGCTTTTTTTCCTCGTACTTTGCTGCTTATGAACTGGTTTAAAACTGCTGCTTTGACGGAAACTCATTTCAAAATCGCTGATATTCCAATAAAGCTTTTAATGAAGCACAGAGGCAGCAGCATGGTGGGAAATGTTCTTGAAAAGGCCTTGGCCGTGTTACCACACACCACTCATGCGCCCATCCCATCTGCTTTACTGAACTGAATGTAGACTCATCGAGGAATCAAGGTTGAAGGAACGGCTCCACAACAGCTGTTTAAAAAAATGGTGGTCCTTGTATGTGCCTGTTGAAGGACTTTGAAATTGAAGTGGTGACTGTGTTAAGCTTTGAAACCTTCAGCTTGGACCCCCTTTACCCGTCAAGCCTCAATCTACCGTTTTTACCCGTCTAACTCCACTGTCGTGCAGTTGCACTGCAACTTCTCCAAGCTCCTTTTCAGTTTAAGAAGCGCCGACAGCGCTTAGCGCCACAGTTGCAGCCGAGCTTGTTGCTGGCATCTTCTATGGGGAACTTGTAGTCATAGGTCAGCTCCTCTCCACGGTAGATCTTCCGCAAGGCGAAAATAACTATGTGCTTCTGACCTTCTACATTGATGACTCGAGAGTAGCAGTTTGGCTCACAGGAGTGGTTGATGAACCGCGCCGCGTTCCCATGCATCGTGGCGTCTACCACATCAAAGTCATCGATGCGGAACATATAGCATCCAATGCCCTGGAAGAAAGAAGTGGTATAAGTGATATTCAAACTCTGACCCAAATCTAGCGAATATTATATATACAGAGAGAGAGAAAGAGGGATTTTTAAAAAAAGAAATTAATACTTATATTCAAGCAAGGATCTATTAAATCGATCAAATGTTCCAGTAAAGACATTTATAGCGTTACAAATGATTTCTCTTTCAAATAAAAACAATCCTGAATAAAAAATGTATCACAGTTATCACAATAATATTAAGCAGAACAAGTGTTTTCAACATTGATAATAACAGTGAATATATCTTCAGCGCCAAATCAGTATATATCAGAATGATATCTGAAGGATCATGTGACACTGAAGACTGGGGGTAATGATGCTGAAAATTAAACTTTGCATCCCATACTGAAATAGCAACAATTATTGTAAGCTGTAATACAATTTCACAATATTACTGTATTTTGCTCCATTTTTGATCATATAAATGGAACATTTGAGACTTTTTTGCACTAAAATAAAAGTAATAAATGTTTCTAGGCAGTTCTTATTTTTCTTTTAATGTTGGGGATGGTGTCTTAGTATTAAATTATATTAATATTTAAACTAAATAAATATTAAATAATACTAACTACAACAAGGAAAAAGGGTAAAAACAGAGGGCCATGACTACCTAAAATGCATTTCTGTTGTTAAACCTGGTGGTAATTGGCTGAGAGATCACAAATAAATAAAAAAGCACATTTCCACTCACCTTGCCATCATAATACTTCTCACGCTTGTCTGTAAGAACAGAACGAATGACAATGCCTGAATACTCAATGACCATCTCTCCAGCCTCGATGTTTCGCTTGCAGAAAAGGCCTCTTCCATGAATCGCAGATCTACAACAAGAATGAATTACAGGAATGAACATGACCGGTTTTTAATTAGAATAGAGCTAAAGAGATGAAACTGGAAAGGGGTCGCGGAATGGATTCCAAAGTTTGTATTTTCTTTGGTAAAAACACGTTCACAGACACCCTATGTGAGCTTCAGGCTTCAGACGCTCTGTGTCTAAGACATTGTAGGGCTAAAAAGAAAGATAACTATTCTAAGCAGATCTTAAGGGATGCTTCCCTAAAAAAAAACAGAATCTTTATGTATTCCAATGGCACCGGGGCTTGGTAGAAACAACACTTGGAAACAATAGGTGCACATTTCTTTCATGGGACTGGTGACTTCATCTCATCTTATTATATAGTCTCATAATGGAATTTTGACTTTTGCAAAAAATAAAGTCATACTCATCTTTTCTACTGAGGTTGCTCAAATGTGGGAGCTAAGGACAGAACTGAAACAGACTCGGTTCCTTATTTGGAGGTTAAAAACAGTCAACCTACCTGTAGACACCAACCGCTTCCTTGGATGTCTTCTCTAGATGTCTAAAGCGCATCGCCATCGGAAGCTCCAAACTTGTTGCGCGCCTGTAAAATACAAGTTTACAGTTTATTCGTCATGTGAACCAAACCACAGATGACTAATCATCAAAAACGCCAATACTGAGGAAATTATTCAAGAAAGAGGAAATATGAACCGCGAAAGATTAAAAAGGGGAAAGGCATATGAAGAGCACACTGTCATGACAAAAAAAAAAACACTTAAAATGACAATAAAACCAAGTATCAGTACCAGGTTTTTTTCCAGCAAAAATATTACCTTGAGTATTTCTCATGATGACTCCTATTAAAATACTTTTTAAAAACAATTAATTATAAAAATAAAATTAAAAACAAACAAATTAAACATTAAAAACACTATGCACATAGTGTTTTAATAATGAAACAATACTGAGATTTGACTGTGAGACTCCCATCATGTTTTTCTCCGAACTCTTATGTGCGTCTTATGAGAAAAACAAAGCTTCAGTAAAATTCAAACTCTTATTTGACCTGGTGGATTTGAGAAGAACCTCATCCTCTTCCTCATCATACAGGTCGGTGTCAGGAAGCTGTCTGTGCTGTGACGCCAGGAAGTTGAACATATCAAAGGTAGACTTCCTGTGAAACAGATACAAGAGCAGATGTGAACTATACTCAGAAAAGCTTGGGTTTTTTTAGGCATGCAAACTTACTAGATAACACCTCTTCCCCATGACTGCAGGGTAACCAAGAAACACTGTGCAAAACATTTAACTTTAAAACACCTACTTTCTCGTAGCTAGGTATTAGTCATTTAGCCCCTTTCTATAAAAGCTA